CTTTTGTGTTTTCGCTTTCAGAAGGAATATCTTGTCTGCAAGTCTTTCAATTAAGCCATCAGTCTATACAGATTAGAACTGTGCTTTGAAACCTTATCCTCGTGATGATAAAAGCCAAGCCAATAAGTCAAAGCGAACTTGGTAGCTAATACTTAATCTGGATTTGGTTCCATTTTCCATCATGTCATTTACCAAGAGGATTCTTCCAACATCAGAAAAGCTGTCAGGAATCGCAACAGTGTCTTAACCATGATTAAATCCTATCAATCAAAAATAAGGATAATGCATTATCAACAATATCACATCTCTTTCATTTCCTCTCCTACTACGTTTTATTATAAGCAAGCAGTTCAAATTTCTTCTGTCCAAAGACTTTTCTTAGACAAGTCGCTCTTTAAGAAGGAATTCTCTGATAGCAAGTCTTCCTGATAATCCATCAATGTATACTAGGATTTAGTTTATTCTCTTGCTAATAAAAGCTGTGGTTAATAAGTCGAAGACTACTTGACACCAAATGCTTAATCAGGATTTGGTTATTCTTTTTACTTTCCATAATACCATTTATCAAGCAGATTTTTCCGACACCTTGAGTAGAAAAACATCCATGGATCCCAGCACTGCCAACATTGATTAAATCATGCCAGGAATAAATAAAAATAATGCACTGTGGGTAATATAGCTTTCCTTTCCTCCTTCTTGACAACAGATTTCAATTATAAGCAAACATCGAGTTTGGATTCGTCTCTCCAAATACTTTCCACAGGTCCTTATTTTTTTTCTGTCTTCTCTTTAAGGATGATTATTTTTGTCTGGAAATCTTCCAGATAATCCATCATTCTATATAGATTAGAACTGTACTTGATGAACTAGAACTGCTTGATAAAAAAATAGTCGAAAACCACTTGGTAAGAAATGCGCAATCTGGAATCGTTTTTTTTTTTTTTTTCTTACTTTTGAAAATGCCGTTTATCAAACAGATTCTTGAAACACCGGCAGTTGAAAAGCAGCCCTGAGTTACAACACTACATCCACTATGATTGCTTTAACATCATCTATAGTAAAGCAGCTTCAACCATGATTAATAAACGCGGATAATACAATGTGGATAATATTCTTCTCATTTTTCTTCTCGTCCACTGCCACCAATTATAAGCAATCACTTAAAATTTCGATTTGTCTCTCCAAAATTTTTTCCACTGATCAGGTTTTTTTTGTTTTTTTTTGTTTTTTTTTGCATTTATTGGTAAATCTAAACCTTTTAATTTTATCTTTTCTCTTGAGGAAGATTTTTTGTTACAGCTCATCCAGATGCTTCATTGATGTTTTAGAGTCTTCCAAGAATTTCTTTTTATGTTCTGCTTCAATATGGCAAATGTAAGTATAAGTTTTTCTTTTGGTTTGTAATCATTGTAACGTTATTGCAAAGGTAGTTATCCCCTTTGCAATTCAGATGCTCGTGTCTTTGTTATGACAATAGTTTGGTTTGGTTTGGTTTATTTTGTTTTAGGGCATATCAACACCTCAATGGGTTATTTAATGCCGGCAAGATTTTTAGGATAGGTTCGTATGAATAGAATATGTATTCTTTTTTTTAGATTGGTTTGGTTTATTTTGTTTTACGGCATATCAACCTCAATGGGTTATTTAATGCTGACAAGATTTTTAGGATAGGTTCGTATGAATAGAATATGTATTCTTTTGTTTAGATTGATTTGGTTTATTTTGTTTTACGGCATATCAACCTCAATGGGTTATTTAATGACGGCAAGATTTTTAGGATAGATTCGTATGAATAGAATATGTATTCTTTTGTTTAGATTGATTTGGTTTATTTTGTTTTACAGAATATCAACCTCAATGGGTTATTTAATGCCGACAAGATTTTTAGTATAGGTTCGTATGAATAGAATATGTATTCTTTTGTTTAGATTGATTTGGTTTATTTTGTTTTACGGCATATCAACCTCAATGGGTTATTTAATGCTGACAAGATTTTTAGGATAGGTTCGTAAGAATAGAATATGTATTCTTTATAAGAAATCAGTTTGTAGATCATGATTCATTGATGCATGTTTGTAAAGAGTGGTTTTGTCGAGAGTCAAATATATTGCTGGTAATATTGTTTTCGAAAATTAAGGTATTTTTTTACTTATAGTATATATATATATATTACTTATAGTAAATGTATTTTTATAGTGTAAAATTATCTGTCCATAGTTGGGACCGGAACAGATGCTACCCCCACCCCGGGTCAGGTTGGGACTGAGAATAACAGCAATTAAGAGTTGGTTCCACATTCCTCAAAAGCTCCCGATCAGATGTCTTGCTGCTGGGTGTAATATGACAATAGGAGACTGTCTCTACTAATTTTACAAATAAGCGAAAACAAAAGTGTAACCAGGAGGACGGTACAGGGTGCGATGGATAAATTGTCGTAATTTTTATTTTTTAATTTTGTTTGTTTGTTTCGACTGCACAGAATAGCAGGCCTAGACTTAAAAGCGCACTACGATGCAATGCACTCCGCCAGAAATTTGGGGAAAAAAAGGCATGTTGTACTATTTGGCATTCGCGCCGGAATCTCCAATACGAACATTTCAGAATGTTTGGGTGTCAATCTAAGGACAGTGCAGAGATTTCGGAAAGAGTTGGATGCGTCTAATGGTGATTACGAAGGTACGGAAACTCGGATAACTCAGCCTGGTCGTTCTGATAAGAAAAGAACTTTCGAATTTGTTGGTGAAGGCCTCAGACTCAACATGGAGGCATGCATCAAGTGCCTTGATGAGATAGTGCTCCCCTGAATCAAGAGGTTGACTGCTGGATCACCCTGTGACTCACAACAGAACTCTACACCATTCCACACAAGCAGGAGAACCCAGAATCCACACGGAGGTCTACATCAAGTGTCTTGAGGAGGGAGTGCTGCCCTGGGTCAAGATGGTAGCTGTTTGAAGGCCTTATGCTTGGAAACAGGACTCTGCACCATGCCACATAAGCAGGAGAATCCAGTCATGGCTGTCAGACAATTTTTAAGAACACGTCACTCTTATGTCTGACCACCTAATTCCCAAACTGCAACTTCCTTGCTTATTATGTGTGAGACACTGTTGAACGAGAGACCAACAAAACTTTTTGCAACACAAAAGATGAACTGAATAGAAGGATTATGACAGGATTCACTAATTTAAACAAAGAGTCCGTACAGAAGAGATGCAGGAGATTCCGAAGTCGTCTGGAGGCCGTTCGTTGAAGACAATGGGGATTTTATTGAATAAATTTACTCTCTAGTATTTCAAGATAATTTTTATTCCGCGTATGCACATTGTTTTAGATTTGTCGACTGAACAGTAGAGTAGAGCCAGTTGGGAATCATCTGTGAGAAAAAGAGCACCATGACTCAATCCACCCCCGCCAGAAATTTGGAAACGGCATGCTGTACTGCTTGGCATTCGTGCCGGAATGCGAAAATTTCAGAGTGCTGAGGTGTCAATCAGTGCAAAGGACTCGTAACGAGTGATTACGACGGACGGCAACTCGGAAAACTTACTTTGATCGTTATGATAAGAAAAGAACTCCCGAATTGGTGAAGGCCTCAGACTCAACACGGAGGCATACATCAAGTACCTTGATGAGGTACTGTTGCCCTGGATCAAGAGGTTGGCTGCTGGATCACCCTGTGACTCACAATAGGACTCTACACAAGCAGGAGAACCCAGGCATGGTTGTTATACAATTTCTGTGACTACATCACCCCTTACATCTGACCACCTAACTCCCCAGACTGCAACCCCTCTTGATTATCATGTGTGGGGCGCAGATGAGCGAGAGACCAACGAAATTCCTTGTAACACCAAAGAAGACCTGAAGGCAAGGATTATGACAGCATTCACAAACTTAATAACGGGTACTGCCCAGAAGAGTTGCAGGAGATTTCAAAGACGTCTGGAGGCCGTGGTTGAAGTCATTGGCGATTATATTGAATAAATTCACTCTTTAGTATTTCAAGTTATTTTTGTATAATTTTGGTAAATATATCTTTTAAAATATGTCGGTGTTGTTTGGTTTGTTTCTGCTGAGGTTGAAGGTGCTGCTGGCTTTGCTGTTGTTGTAGGGGGCAAAGGTGCCGAACTCTTCAAAGGGAACAACTTGGCCAAGTGCCCTGCGGCCCTACGGTACCTACAGTGTGGATGGCGACCGTCAACAACAACCAACATTTTTCTTCCACGGCACGTCAGAAGATTCGGTATCACCATAAACTTGTACCTAGTTAAAATTTGGGCCACATTGGGCAAACGAATCACCCAGCCGATCCTCCGATATGTCTAAAGGCACGCCATGTAAGGTTACCCTGGTCTTCCGTGCACCCATATATTCAGTTACAAGGCGTACCGATTTTGCCTTGAGAACAGTACCAGCTATTTTCTTCGCTTCTACTTCACTAGTTAGTAGTACGTCCCACATAGCCTTGGAACACATGGCAAGTATTTTGCTTGTATTTGGAGACCTTTTAGCGCCCCCTACATTGTATCCCTACTAACCCCCAAAAGCCAGTGTGTTACGTCCGTTGTTAGCAGGGATATTGTCCTAGTGGCTACTTCCTGCAATGATTCAGGGATTGCCAAAAGTTCATTCCCATTGGTATGTGGAGAATACATTTCTTGTAGTGTCACATTCTTGTGGGCTCTTTTTCATCGGTATATTAGCAACCCAAGCCGAAACTAGTATTGGTGTTGAAGCCGAATGCTATCGGAGAGAATTCTCCATGCTGGTGAAATCTCCGGTCATACAAAATCAACATCCAAACAAGCCAAAGAACACCAAACCTCACAAAGGTATATAAAATTATAATTGCCAAATTATCTTAGCTGGTGAAATTCCAATAGTTCAAACTAGCGTCCAGTTTCCACAAAAACAGTCAACACTCAAACAGTAAACCAGTGGACACTGCAACACACAATCATCAGGTAGCCGGTAACTTGCAGTAATCAGGTGATTACCTTATCAAGCTCGCACAATGGAGAGGAGAGATAATCCAGCCAAGATCTAAAATGGCAAAAAAAAAAAAAATTCAATCTGGAAAGGCTTGCCAGTAGAGCAGAATGTGCTCAATAACCAAAGAAACTGGTGTCACGGAACAGGAGCTGAAGAATTAAACCCAAAAAGTGCCAAACAACCAAAAATACATATATATATATATATATATATATATATATATATATATATATATATATATAGCAAAATCATATAAGCATAATATAATCTATCTATTTCTCTCAATCTCTATCCTCTCTCTCTCTCTCTCTATAAATATATATATATATATATATCTATCTATCTATCTGTTTCTCATCTCTCTATTTATTATCTCTCTCTCTCTATCTCTCTATCTATATATATATATATATCTATATATATATATCTATCTATCTATCTATATCTATAGTTTGCCCATAGACATGCATCTGTATTTGTCAGGTTGTGCTCGTCTTTATTCCAACATATTATTGAATATATATATATATATATATGTATATATATATGCTACCCACCAAAGATCACCTAACATTTTTTGCAAAAAAAAACCTCCATAGAAAGGAAATACTCTTGGAATTCTTTCGACCAGTGAAAGCAAATATTCACTTGTAATGTTTTGCCATTCCTCTTTTAATCATGTCCACAAGATTTTCACACTATTTGGTTGTCGCCTATTAGACTAATTCGATGGGGTTGCAGTCAGGTGATTGGAGGGCCATTCCATGACAGTCAATGATTTTATTCAGTTTTCTTCTGCAAATAGTTTTTACATAGTTTAGAGGTGTGTTTTGGGTCATTATCTTGCATAAGCACAAATCTATCACCGATCAGCCGTTTCCTAAATGGAATGATGGCGTGACGCTATAGGATATAGTGATATCCATGTTCATTCAATATTCCTAGATATCGCCAACTGTATTGCCTGCAAATCACATTTCCTTCATCATGCTTTACAGTTAGCACAACACAAGCAGTAATCATTCGTTAACAAATTCTTCGCCTCACATACACTCGTCTCCAGGATCCGAAGATTTCAAACTTGGATTCGTCAGTCCAGAGGACGTGTTTCCATTGATCAACAGTTCAGTTTTAATGGGTTTTTTTTTTCGCCCATCTGAATCTCTGACGTTTATTCGCCGGTCCAAGTAGTGGTTTCATGGCAGCACAACAGACATTTAGACCCTCTGCAGTGAGTCTTCTCATAACTGTTGATGAAGGCACGATATCTCTGACGGCTTCACTTACTTGTGCAGCAATTTGAAGGACAGTCAGATTCCTGTTTGGAAGACTTGTGATTGTGATGAACTTATCTTGTGATTTAGAAGAGAATTGTGGCTGACCTGACTGCTGTCTGCCGTTATTTTTGCCTATTTCCACACTTCTCACGATAGCGGAGTGAACTGTATCGTATTAAACTTTAACTTTTGTTGGTATATATCGGAAACTATAGCCTTCATAACGTAATATCACAATGGTTTGCCTCTTCTCAGGTGATAAATTACACTTCTTGCCATATTAAGATTGAATCTACTAATTTGAAGTTATTATTAATATTTTTGATAAGTAAACCTGAAACACATAATACCACCTGACAGCGCATAAGGAGTGCCAATAGTGACTTTGGATTCCGTTGTTACAAAATAAAAGGCTCTAAAACAATTTAGAGTCAGCCTCCTCACACACAATGTCGGGTAAACGAGGTATTTTTTATAAGTAAACCTGAAACACATAATACCATCTGACAACGCATAAGGAGTGCCAATAGTGACTTTGGACTCCGTTGTTACAAAATAAAAGGCTCTAAAACAATTTAGAGTCAGCCTCCTCACACACAATGTCGGGTAAACGAGGTACTGCAATAAAAATAAAATGTTGTTTCATATCACATGTAGCCAACCTTGTTTAAAGTGTTATTTCATGTAATTTTACCCCAGAACCATCTATATTTATAAAATTAAACATAAAAGTTAGCGTTGAAACATAATCTTAAATTTTAGAGGCTAGTATGCATGTATATATATATATATATATATATATATATATATATATATATATATATTCAAATAATTCTTTAGTATTAATGTTTTTTTTTATTAAAAAAACAGTGCTCTATACAAAGTAGAGCATAATATAATTATTTTAAAAAAATATATCTGCTGAGAATGAAACCGTACTACAAATTTTCAATTTAACTTTTAAAGTTAATTTTTGTGCTTTAAGTTGCAGCTTCGAAACATAGTAATGTCTGTGTCGCGATGTAGATTTTTTTAAATATATATATATATATATATATATAGTGTGTGTGTGTGCTCATTTCCATATCCAAATTCTCTCTTCCTCTATCTCGCCTTATATATATATATATATATATATATGTGTGTGTGTGTGTGTATGTGCGCGTGTGTGTGTGTATGTATGTGTGTTCGTTTCCATATCCAAATTCTCTCTTTGTTTATCTTTCCTTATATATATATATATATATATATATATATATATATAAGTAGAGATAGGGGAGTTGAGACTGAAATTGTTCTCTCAGATTGCGCGACTGAATTGCAGTTTGTTTTTTAGAGGAATCAAATTTTAGAGAATCAAGAATCAAGAATATTTTTTTATAACGATGAGCATATCTTCTCGTATCTTTATAGAAATGTATCTGCGTGCCATAACAACCACACATATTCACATCTACGCATATATAATTTTTGAAGGACAATGAAATATTTTGCTCAATCGAATGGAAAAAAAACCTTTACAAAAAATGTTTTTTGCGCCATTTTTAAATGAATCACTTTCTTAGAAGAAATAACCTACCTTCCATACAAAAAAAAAACAAAAAAAAACATAGCAGTAATTTTTTTTTTCGGAGCCTGATTATAAAATTCGGCTTTTTATACACACTGTTATTTTCCTTCCAAAATACTCTTACAAAAGACTATGCCTCCTTTTATTTCAAATAATAAATCTCTTCTTTACTATTCCCCTAAGTGATTAAACTTTCAGGGCGCAAAATTGGCCTAAGGAAATTCATTGCTGTATCTTATTTTTTTCAACAAGACAGGCTTTCACTTTCGCAATTATTGCTTGCAATATAAATGGAAAATTTGCCCCTCCAAACAAATATTGGAAAAAAATAAAATAGAAAGAAAAAAAATGAAGAAAATGTTAAATCGTCCAAACCATGGATTTGCCATTGAACAAAGAAAGAAATATTCAAGACTATCTCTAAGACTATCTCTAACACTAAATATATTTAAATCTATCTCGTTAAAAGTTTCCTTTTGTGCTGCTTCCCTTCAGCAGTCCTGGGTATGACGATAAACTACATCCGGCAGCAAAACTTCCAATCGAGAGAAATAACGTCTTACTTGCTGTTACTAGCTTCACCCTGATCCGGGGTAGAAGCATCTGTTATGGTCCCAGTTATAGGCAAATGGTGAACTCCTAAAATAAAAATCACTATGAAAGTATAAAGATATATTTTAATAGTAAACTATAAGCAATTCATTTTTATATATAAAAAATCACCAGCAATACATTTTATAGCAAAATGATCAAAACATCATTTGTAATTGAAGGCATACAATTGCGTTTGTTGTAAGCTAGGGAAGGTTACGGAATAGAATAATCGTACGAGGGTTAGTAATGAACGATAATACTTAGGACAAGAACAACACATATAAGATTCGCCGGAAACGCGTAGAAGTCAACTGCTAGAAGTGAGTCAAATGAATTCCACAATAAATTTCCAACTGTCGGATATCTACCAACCACACCATGCGGTCAGATGTGGCACAAGGCTGAATTTAATGTGGGCTATCCAAGCTCGTAGGCTCAGCCAAAAATTTCCCGTACATCCCGTATAAAACTCTCTTCGATATAGCCTCGTCTGGGGATCATCTCCGCTCGGAGACAGAAAGTTTGACCAGCACAGCTGGAGACAAATCTCCAACTGCAGGATATCTACCAACCACCCCACGCGGTCAGATGTGGCACAAGGCCGAATTTAATGTGGGCTATCCAAGCTCATAGATGGGGTATCCGTGCCTGTAGGTCCCGTATAAAACAGGGTCGGGTAACTGTTTCCCGAGACGAGACTCTGTCCTTCGACATAGCCTCATCTGGGGATCCTCCCTGCCCGGAGGCAGAAAGATTAACCAGAACAGCTGGAGAGGAATCTCCAACTGTAAGTTATCTACCAACCACCCCACGTGGTCTGACGTGACACAAGGCCAAATTTAGCGTGATGTACACGACCCCGTTGGCTCGGCCAAAAATTCACCGTTACGCCCCATATGAAATTTGTGTTCGGATAGCTGTTTCCCGAGACGACACTCTGCCTTTCGACATAGCCTCGTCTGGAGATCCTCCCTGCCCGGTGTCAGAGAGTTTGAACAGCGCACTCGGAGACTAAACTCCATCTGGAAGATATCTACCAACCGCCCTACGTGGTCAGATGTGGCACAAGGCCGAATTTAATGTAAGGTATCCGAGCCCGTAGGCTCGGCAAACAATTCCCCGTATACCCCGTATAAAACGAAGTCGAGTAACTGTTTCTCGAGACGAGACTCTGCCCTTCGACATAGCCTCTTCTGAGGGTGCTCTCTGCCCAGAGGCAGAGAGTTCGACTAGCACAGCTGGAACAGATCCCAGCTAGTATATTTATTGTATAACCTACCTAGCAAGTTTTGGAGAAAATGAAAACAAAAAGGACACTTATACTTAACATCAGCAAGAGACAGTTGAAATTTCTAGGGTACATAATGAGGAAAGAGGTCTTGGAAAATTTGATACTCACATGACAGATTGAAGGTAAAGAGGGATAGAGGAAAACAACGCATAACCTACCTAGCAAGTTTTAGAGAAAATGGAAACAAAAAGGACAGTTATACTTAACAACTGTTTAATAAGTTTAATAAGCAGAGCCAAAGAAGAATGTTTGTGAAATGGTTGTACTTGTTTGATTTTGCTCTCACCAATTTGCATGTTGGACTGTTTCTTTTTGCTAA